TCCGTCTTTGACCGACTTTAATTGGTCCGACCATGGACCAACCAAATGTGGTCCTGACCACGGACCAACCGACCGGCTCTATTTGCCTTATCTCTTTAGAAGGACAGACTGTCCTCTGGACAGACCTCCACATCTGTCCGTACCTCTTCCTTGCCCGACCTTTCTCTTGACAAACCTTCGCGTCTGCCCAACTTCGTCTTTCACCCGATCTACGGTTTACCCGACTTGGGTACACCTTTTTTCAGACTCCGCCCGACCTTTCTTCCTTCCCGATCCTTGCATCTGTCCGATTGCACCCGACTTCTGGGTCATTTAACTTATATCCAGACCCGTCCAGAATCCCACTGCCATTATTTATTATTATTATTTTTTTTGTGCGTAACAACATGCCTCCTCCTCAAGGCTCCTAAGCGTCACTTCCAGTGATGTTTAGGAGTTAGTAGGCCGTCATCCGAGGCCACATCAACCTCGGATCCGACCTTCATCTTTCAATGCTACGTTGGACCCGACCTCCATTTATTGCAGTCTGGCGGTTGCCTGCGCGTCGGTCGATTTTGGACTACCATCTCTTCAGCATCTCCCCCCTGACGGAAGTCATGATTATTTTCTGTAAAAAAGGATTCTAACCTTCTTGCCGTGGATGCTAAACTGGCCAGATCTTGAAAGTCGTGGGCTGTCAGGGCCTCGCGAAGTCTGGTATGCATGTTCCTGACCACCAAATTGGTCATTTCGCTTTCATTGATCATCGTAGGACATCGTCCCTTCATCAATCGCATCCTCTCTATGAATTGGTAGCCGGTCTCTTCTGGCATCTGCGTGATCTCCAGAAGGTCTGTCAGTGAGACTGTCGGCAGAGGATTAAAGAACCTTGCATGAAAATCTGCCTCTAAATCTTCCCAAGTTTGCAACTGTCCAGGCGGCAGACTGGCATACCAAGAAAAAGCTGTTCTTGTGAGCGACAACCCAAACAATTGTAACTTGTGAAACGGATTGTTGCCTACTTCTCCCAATTGAGCCGTGAAGCGACCCACATGCTCAATGGTAGAGGCTCCATCTTCTCCCGAAAAAGAATAGAAGTCTGGTGGCCTATAATTTCTCGGGAGAGGATGATCGTTAATGATCCTTTCTGGAAATGGCCTCTGGTAAACCGGCCTGTTCACCGTTTGCGGATTCATTCCGAAATGCACCCGCAGAACTTGAGCAATATCCTCCGGATCTACTCTGGGTGGAATATGGTCGAACACTGGAATGTGATCGTGAGTCTGACCTCCCAATCTTTCTTCTCTGGAGAAGGCTGGTTCGGCTGGGATGGGATTATGAGTCTGTCCCCCCAACCTATCTTCCCTTACGATATTCGGCTGCACATTTTCAACCATTGGTCCCAAAGGAACATTATCAGGGAACATTAGAGGAGTCTTCCCCCTATCTGTTCGGTTGACAGTTGTGGCACTTGGAAATGTACTATCAACATATGATGGTTCTGCAAACGTTGATCCTGAGAAAGTCGCCTGAAAACGAGAAGGTAACACGGCTGGAAGCATGTTTGGATACAGGGTGAATCTGGAGAATGCCTGATCCAACATGTTTTGCATTAGATTTTGTTGTTCACGCAACATGTTCTGCATAAACACAGTTTGCTGATTGTTCATTTGTTGAACATAAGACAACCAATCGGTAGGTGGTGGGGGAATCTCCCTTGGATTTGGCATGACTGGTGGTGAAATATTCTCTCCCACTGGTGCTGATGATGATTGAGGTTGTGTGCCTGCCATATTGACCCTTCCGATGATACGGCCGGATCTAAGACGTATGAAATTATCGCCGGAATTGGAATGAGCAATTTTGTCTTGCTCCCACTGTGGTCGCCAATTTGTTGATGTAATTTTTCAACAAAAATAAAGTAAAATTCAAAGATATAGAAAATATCCTTAAACTTGATTAATTAGTGCCTGAGATTAGGAATCTCTACACTGTATGGTACAGAAAATAAACTGGAAAATAAAAGACTGAAATTTAAAGTGGTGATCCCCAAATCTGACTTTGCTTTGTTGAAGTTGATTGAAGATGCATTTTCAGAATAAATCTGAATCCTTAAATAGCCTTTGAAGAAAACGGTTTGAACCGCCGTCTGGTCGGTTACAGCAACCGCTGTCAACCGACCATCAAATTCTCCTCAATTGACACGTGTTACAACTTCCTTCAACCTCCCCAAACCTCTCACGCCTTAAACCGTCCCAGAAATGCCATTTGCCCGACCTAAGTGCTACCCGACCAATCCAGAGACTAACTGGTCGCCGGACCGAACGATTTATTGGTCGCCCCATCAAGCGACCAACATCTGATTTCCCCATACGATTCAATGGTCGCCCCAACCAGGCGACCGCCATCGGGTCTCTTGCCCGACCACGTATAGTCCGTCTCATTCTTCTTCGCCCGACATCATTTGGGCCGACCTCCGCATCAGCCGCCCTCCGTCTTTGACCGACTTTAATTGGTCCGACCATGGACCAACCAAATGTGGTCCCGACCACGGACCAACCGACCGGCTCTATTTGCCTTATCTCTTTAGAAGGACAGACTGTCCTCTGGACAGACCTCCGCATCTGTCCGTACCTCTTCTTTGCCCGACCTTTCTCTTGACAAACCTTCGCGTCTGCCCGACTTCGTCTTTCACCCGATCTACGGTTTACCCGACTTGGGTACACCTTTTTTCAGACTCCGCCCGACCTTTCTTCCTTCCCGATCCTTGCATCTGTCCGATTGCACCCGACTCCTGGGTCATTTAACTTATATCCAGACCCGTCCAGAATCCCGCTGCCATTATTTATTATTATTATTTTTTTGTGCGTAACAGAAGCCATTCTCATCTCAGGGTGTGAGTGGTAGGTGACACTTTGCAAAACCTAAAGAATATATTGATTTCCTTTCAACAACTGTGCACTCGACGATGACGATGGTTGGCCGGCGGACAATATAAAAAAAATTATATTTCACAGGAAAATAGTTTGGGAGAGAAGGGAAAGAGAAAAAGAAAACCCATTGCCTTGAAATTTATTCAGAAAGTACCTTCCAAATCTGTCTTCTTGTGCAAATTAATTTTCTGACTCGGGGGAACCAGCCTCGATGCAGAAGGACAAGCTCCCTAAATTTGCTTAAGTTCCGCAGGTGAGCTGGGAAGGACGGCAGCAGTGGGGAGGTGGCAGTGTATTTTTTATATTTATATTTCATATCATTATAGATATATAAAATAACAATAATAAAAAGTAAATTTAATTATAAAATGGTGCTCATAAGTGACAACAGGTAGGAAATTGCATGTTGGAAAAGTCAGTACCAAACTAGGGTATATAAATTAATTAACTATGTGTTTTTTCAATAATTAAAATTTTTTTCTGACATGTTTATCAATTAAAATTATAATAAATTACAATATTTAAATATTTTCACATACAATATATAATATATAAATTCTATTCATTTTTTTTTTTTTTTTAAATCAACAATCGCACACCATATATATATAAATTCATTAATAAATTTTAAAATTATTCTTTTTTACTAAAAATTTTAGTAAATTGGTCCAAGTCAACATGTCGGTATCATTACAAGTGCAGGCCGACATAATTTTTTCAGTCATTCCAGCACAAGTCGGTCTATAATTTTTTTCAAGCTTTATATATATATATATATATATATTTTTTTTTATGTATAGTAAAATTTATGTGCGTTTCATTTTGTTATGTTTTGATAGTAATATTGGTGGGCATTTCGATTATTACTTTGTGATTAATATAAGATATAAATCCAAAAAACCAAAACTATATTTAATCATATTTAAAATGAAAACGAAGAATAGAAAGGTAGTCACTAAAAATGAAACAATAAGATAATGCCAAGTACTCCATCAGTCACACATAATTTGTCCCTATTTTCTATTTTCGTTCGTCGTCTTTTCTATTTTTGGAAATATAATTATGCACTTTAATCGCATTTTTAATTTTAAATTTTATAATTTTTTTAATTTTAATTAAACTATTTATTTATCTTAATCTTAATGTATAATTATTTTTACTAATACACTTCTTAATTACTTACTAATTATACTTTACGTAAATAAATTTTCGTATCTACGATAATACACTCATATTATATGGGACAAAGGGAGTACTATTTTGTAATTGCACGGCTGAGAATCTGTTGTAAAATTGCAGAGCCGAGACGACAGATTACGAATTGAAGACTATCCCTCCAGCGATGATCAGATCTGGTCGTATTAATTGTATTGTCTGATAGCTCATAAATCGACAACGGTTGTCTTCTGGCTGTGATCTCCTTTGGAACAGCTCTGTCACCTCCTACCTTCTTCAGAGAAGGCCGCGGTAGTGTCTACTTTTTGTTTTGTGTTTATTTTATAGGATGTGATAATAATGCTACTTCCGTCCCCGGCTCTAAAGGTTCAATTTACTTTTACTTGCGTATTAATTTTTTAATATTAATTATTATATAAAAATATAGTACAAATTAAAAAAAATTACAAAAATATTTCTAAGATATCAATAGAAACATATTTGTAAAAAAAAAATTATACAAATATAAAGATATTTTTAACGTTAAGTACAATGTGTGACCCTGCAGACCGAGGGAGTATATAATATTATTTTAATATATTATTGTTACGCACAAATAATAATAATAATAATAAAAAAAATAAGGATAGCAGGATTTTAAAGGAAGTTAGACACGAAGTCAGGTCGAAAAGAAGAAAAATTTGCGCTCAGGTCGGTTGGTCCTCGGTCGGTTGGTCTGGTCGGTTGGTCATTGGTCGGATCGGCAGGTCGGAAGGTCTGCGGTCGGATAGGTAGGTCAGTTGGTCCTCGGTCGGATAGACAAGTCGGAAGGTCTGCGGTCGGATAGGCAGGTCGGTAAGTCCTCGGTCGGATAGGCAGGTCGGAAGGTCTGCGGTCGGATAGGCAAGTCGGTAGGTCCTCGGTCGGATAGGCAGGTCGGAAGGTCTGCGGTCGGATAGTCAGGTCGGTTGGTTAGCGGGTCAGATGGTCCATAGGTCAGAAAGTCTGCGGTCCGATAGTCAAGTCGGTTGGTTAGGGGGTCGGATGGTCCATAGGTCGGAAGGTCTGCGGTCGGATAGTCAGGTCGGTTGGTTAGCGGATCGGATGGTCCATAGGTCGGAAAGTCTACAAGTCGGTTGCTACGGAGGTCTGGCGAAGTAAGGTCGGGTAATTGATTGCCCACTTAAGTGAACAGTAGTTTGGTCGCTTGGTGGGGGCGGCCAAAGAGTCTTTTGGTCCAGCGATTAGTTAGTCGCTGGATTAGTCGGTTGGGTTATGCAGTTGGCGAGACGGTCGCTGTAACTGACCAGACGACGTTTCAAAACGTTTCTTTTAGGCGGTTGCTGTAACCGACCGGGCGACGGTTCCAAGCGTTTTCTTCAAGGAATATTTAAGGGTTTGGATTTTTCTGGAGAAGGCATCTTCAATTTACTTCGACAAAAGCAAAGTCAGATTCGGGGATCACCACTTTAAATTTCCAGCATTTTAATTTTCCAGTTAATTTTCTTATGTACCGTACAGTGTTTAGCGATTCCTAATCTCAGGCACTAATTAATCAAATTTAAGGATATTTCTATATCTTTGAAATTTTACTTTTTGTTTGTTGAAAAAATACATCAACAAATTGGCAATCACAGTGGGAGAAAGGCAAGATTGCTGATCCTACATCATCAGAAAATGTCATACAACTGAGGTCTGGCCGAATCATCAGAAAGATCACTATGGCAGGCTCACAACCTCAATCATCATCAGTACCGGTGGGAGAAAATATTTCACCACCTGGCATGTCAAATCCAGGGGAGATTCCCCAACCATCTACCGATTGGTTGTCTTATGTTCAACAATTGAACAATCAGCAAACTTTGGCTATGCAGAATATGTTGCGCGAGCAACAGAACATGTTTCGTGGACAACAAAACCTAATGCAGAACATGTTGGATCAGACGTTCTCCAGATTCACCCGTATCTAAACATGCTTCCAGCCGTGTCACCTTCTCGTTTTCAGGCGACTTTTCCAGGATCGACGTTTGCAGGGCCAATGTACGTTGACAGTACATTTCCAAGCGTCACAACTTTCAACCGAACAGATATGGGGAAGACTCCTCTAAATTTCCCAGATAATGCTCCTTTAGGACCAAGAGTTGATAATACTCAGCCGAATATCGTAAGGAAAGAGAGTTTGGGAGGACAGGCTCATAATCCCATCCTAGACGAACCAACCGTCCCCAGAGAAGAAAGATTGGGAGATCAGATTCATAATCCAATTCCAGCCGAGCCAGCCTTCACTAGGGAAGATTCTGTTCCACCCAGGATAGATCCAGAGGATATCGCTCAAGTTTTGCGGGTGCATTTCGGAATAAACCAGCAAATGGTGAACCGACCAGTGTATCAAAGGCCATTTCCAGAAAGAATCATCAATGAGTATCCTCTCCCGAGGAATTATCGACCGCCAGACTTTCATGTTTTCTCGGGAGAAGACGGATCCTCCACCATAGAGCATGTTGGTCGGTTCACAGCACAGTTAGGAGAGATCGGTAACAACCCTTTTTACAAATTACAACTGTTTGGATTGTCTCTTACCAGAACAGCTTTTTCGTGGTTTGACGATCTACCACCTGGAAAAATACAAACCTGGGAAGGTTTGGAAGCGGCCTTTCATGCAAGGTTCTTTATTCCTCTTCCAACAGTCTCACTCACAGACCTTTGTGAGATTGAGCAGATGCCGGAGGAGACCGCCTCCCAGTTCATAGAACGGATGCGATTAATGAAGGGACGTTGCCTAACAATCATTGAAGAAAGCGACATGACCACTTTGGTGGTCAGGAAAATGCACACCAATCTTCGGGAGGCTTTTACAGCCCACGATGTTCGAGATCTGGCTAGTTTAGCATCCAAGGTAGGAAGGTTAGAATCATTTTTTAAAGAGAATGATCGTGGCTTCGGTCAGGGGGAGGTGTTGAAGACATGGTAGTGCAAGGTTGATCAACGTGCAGGCCACCGCCAATCTACGATTAATGGAGGTCGGGACCAACGTAGCCTCGAGAGAAGGAGGTCGGATCTGAGGCTGATGTGGCCTCGGATGACGGCCTGTAAACTCTTAAAACATCACTGAAAGTGATGCTTAGGAGTCTTGAGGATGAGGCTTATTGGTACGCACAAAAAATAATAATAATAATAAAAATAAGGATAGCAAGATCTTAAAGGAAGTTAGACACGAAGTCAGGTGGAAAAGAAGAAAAATTTGCGCTCAGGTCGGTTGGTCCTCGGTCGGTTGATTTGGTCGGTTGGTCCTCGGTCGGATCGGCAGGTCGGAAGGTCTGCGGTCAGATAGGTAGGTCGGTTGGTCCTCGGTTAGATAGACAGGTCGGAAGGTCTGCGGTCGGATAGGTAGGTCGGTAGGTCCTCGGTCGGATAGGCAGGTCGGAAGGTCTGCGGTCGGATAGGCAGGTCGGTAGGTCCTCGGTCGGATAGGCAGGTCGGAAGGTCTGCGGTCGGATAGTCAGGTCGGTTGGTTAGCGGGTCGGATGGTCCATAGGTCGGAAGGTCTGCGGTCGGTTGGTTAGGGGGTCGGATGGTCCATTGGTCGGAAGGTCTGCGGTCGGATAGTCAGGTCGGTTGGTTAGCGGGTCGGATGGTCTATAGGTCGGAAAGTCTGCAAGTCGGCTGCTACGGAGGTTGGGCGAAGTAAGGTCTGGTAATTGATTGCCCACTTAAGTGAACAGTAGTTTGGTCGCTTGGTAGGGGCGGCCAAGGAGTCTTTTGGTCAAGCAATTAGTTAGTCGCTTGATTAGTGGGTTGGGTTATGCAGTTGGCGAGACGGTCGCTGTAACTGACCAGGCGACGTTTCAAAACGTTTCTTTTGGGCGGTTGACGGCAGTTGCTGTAACCGACCAGGCGACGGTTCCAAGCGTTTTCTTCAAAGAATATTTAAGGATTTGGATTTTTCTGGAGAAGACATCTTCAATCAACTTCGACAAAAGCAAAGTCAGATTCGGGGATCACCACTTTAAATTTCCAGTTAATTTTCTTATGTACCATATAGTGTTTAGAGATTCCTAATCTTAGGAACTAATTAATCAAATTTAAGGATATTTCCATATCTTTTGAATTTTACTTTTTGTTTGTTGAAAAAATACATCAACAATTATATATTCATATGATAAATAATTCAATATTTACTTTAATTGATTATTATGCCATTTTTTTTTTCTAAAATATGATTGATTATATGGTAAAATCTATATTAAGTTAGCTATTAAGCAAAATAATATTTTAAAACCAATACTTTTTTTAATCTTATTTAATTCTACCAACATAGGAAGGATTAATAATCCTGAATTAATCACTATTATACCAAATTTTATTTTATTTCGAATTATATTAATGCATGTGGTAAAAGATAAATAAAATAATATTATTCATTCTAATCCTTCAAAATAAATATAATTTTAGTGTATGACCAGGGTAACCACCTCTCAAGTGGATCAACGGTCGTGTTACGCCTCGACACCAAAGGTTTGGGGACAAAAAAAAATAGGGTCCATAAATATATAAATAGTCTCTTCTTACTTCTCTTTTCCCTTTTTTTTTCTTTTTTTTTTTTTTTTTTTTTTTTTATCTATAATGAAATATATATAATTAAATAAAATAATTTTTTTTAACATTTTTAGAGGAAAATTAATACTCTTTCCTTCCCATCCAATTATGTCATATTTATTCCTCCCTTCGTCCTAAACATCGTGCAATATTTGTGTTTGGCACGGGAATTTAGGTGGGGAGTATTAAGTATATTTATTTGAAATAATTTGGATATTAAGTGATGTGATTGGAGAGAGAAATGATTATTTATTTTTTTTATTTGAGTGATGTGATGAGATAAAGTGAAATGTATATTAATATATGTATAAAAATATTATTAATTATTTCTAAATTTGAAAATGTTGCAGTGAGTTTGAGACAAAGAAAAAAGAAAATGTTGTAGGTGTTTGGGACGGAGGGAGTATTTTAGTTGTCTCATTCAATTAGGCTACTTTCCAATAAACTAAAAATTAACAAATTTTAATTACAATTAAATCTTACCTAATTCAAACAATCTATTTAGTTTTTTAACCACAATTATTTTTAAAATTTTGTTTTTAATTACGCTTAATTAGAACTGATAAAAATAAATATGATCCAAAGATCTAAAATCTCGACTCGGATTTGATATGAAAATCGGGCTGAGGCCGGACTTAGCTAAAACTTTTGAAAAAAAATAAAAATAATTCAAAGTTAAATATATATTTTTAATAATATTCATAATTAATAAATTTTAACGATCTATTTGATTTTAAATTTGAATTTTGGTTTTAGCGTCAATAATAACCAAAATTAATTCAAATATTTTTTTTGGTTTAATATAAATATATATTAATACTATATTTTAAATGTGAAATAAAATATTTTATATAATATAAAAGTGATAAAAGACTTTAATTTAAATATTTTTAGAGGAAAAATAAAAGTAAATAGACTCTAGCATAGAGCTGTCAAAACGGGTTGGCGGACGATTTAGCACACAACCCACCATAATCCGCAAATAAGCGAGTTATTTGCGAGCTAACCTGCAACGGGATAGGCTAAGATTTTCACGGCCCAACCCAACCCACCGGCGGTGGTGGTGGGCCAACCTACCAACTTTTAAAAAATATAAAAAATATTTTTTATTTTTATATATTTAATATAAAATATAATTATGTGTTAGAGTTATAAATATGTAAACTAAATTAATTCAAAATTTTAAATATCATTGGTCGTTAGTTTTTTTAAAAAAGAATTACTAATCGAAAATATTTAAACAATAAATAGGTATTATCCTTATGGATCTTTCAATATATTTTAGAAGAAAAAAATTAAAAGACATGAAAAATAAACAAAACAAACGGAAAAAAAATTTAAATATAGAAAATTACGACATCGTCAAAATAATTGTAAAAGAGAATAACATCGCAAATAATATATATATTGGTTAATAGTTTAACATTATATGAAAGTTTTTGATAAATTAATTACTTGATATAATTTAATATAAAATATTTTTAAAAACTATCGTAAAATATAATATTTCATCAATCCTATAAGTATATAGATTGTTTACTTCTTTTATTAAAATTTCTAAACATTAATATTAAACAATGATGATGATTTTTTGGTAATAATATTTAAGTTGTAAAATTTTTCTAAAATGATGTAGTAAGTACAATTACTAAAAATAAAATAAATAAGTTAATTTTAGACAGACTAAAATAACAAAGTAAGTAGATTAATTTGAAATATTAAAGATATAATATATAATTATAATTATATTTATTTGGCTCACGAGCTAACCAATGTGGACTGGCTCATTTAGGCCCACATTTTAATGGGCCAAAAGAATTAAAACTCAATCCTCTTTAAAAGTGAGGTAGTGGACCAATTCGACGAGCTCAACCCATTTTGACAGCTCTACTCTAGCGGGTGTGTTTGGTTAGAGTTTGGATTTTGAATAAAAAGTTAAAATTTGAATAAGTTGTTTGATAAAAATATAAATATACATTGGAATATATTTTCAACTTAAAATTAATTTTTAATATAATATAAAACTAAAAGAAAATAAGCGTTTGATTTAATATTTTGAAAGGAAAAAATCGAAGAATAGAATCAAATAGTGTATTATATTGAAGGTTTAAATTTTAGATTTGGAGTTTGATTAGTAAGCTTTTTATAATTTAAATATTTTTTTTGTTATATAAATATCTATTGAAATGATATTTTGTGTATAAAATTAATTTTTAGTAGTATAATATAAAAAAATAAAAACTAATAATTTGATTTGATATTTTTGAAGAAAATATTCTTTGGTTGGGATTTGGATTTGAGTATTGATAGTACAAATTTTCAATTTGACTCATTATTAGATGTTAAATGAATATGTATTAATGTGATATTTTGATATAAAAATAATTTTTAATATAATATAAAAAAAAAAAGTTTTATCTAACGACATGTTTGATTGGATGTTTAAAGTTTGGATATTTAACTTTTTTTAGTTTGAATAATTATTTGATAATATATAAATATGTATGATGTGATAACTTTAATGTAAATTATTTTTTAATATAATATAAAAATGAGACTTTTATTGATATTTTTTAAAAAAACAATAGTTAATAATATATATTTTGGGTAAATCCAATAAACACAATTATTTTTTTTTTTAAAAAATATATTTTAAATAAATAATTTCTTATAAGTAACTTAACTTTTTTTTTTTTTTTTTTTTAAATGTAATATCATTACAAATAATTGCATAAATTATTTGTTCAAATACAAAAATTATTTATACCAAATTATTTAATACTCCTACTGTTTATTTCACTCAAAATATTAAATAAATAATATATATTACTCTATTACAAATATTTTATCAGCTAAATTAAACATAATTAACTTTTCTAATACATATACTCATCTAAGTTTATATTTACTTTATTTTTCATCTGTCCTTTTCAACTGTTTCTTAAAAAAAATTTTTCCTCAAATACCCTTAACTTTTACAATAATATTGGTATCCTTTTGTACTTACATAAAAATCTAAAAATTATCTTATATATTTTTACTGATTAATAAAATATAAATTATTTTCATATTATTTAATATATATATAATTCACTAAAAAAATAAAAAAATTATTTTTCACTATTTCCATATAAACATATTATATTATAATATTATCAATCATAGAATAATTTATAATAATAATTACTTCATCTTCCATGGATAAATGGTCCGGTTACTGTTGATCATAAATTATGTAAAATATAATTAATAATTAATTAAAAAATATATTAAAATTAATTATTGTATAATAAAAATAATTATAAAATAAAATTATGATAACAAAATAATTTAATTAAGACTAGGAAAATTACGTATGATAAAATTAAAATGTGATTAAAATATATAATTGTATTTTTAAAAAAATAAAAATGATGTGAAAAAGAAAAAAAATAGAAAAATATGAACAATTAATATAAAAAATTTTAAATAAAAATCAACCCGCTATTTAAATAGGAAAATAGGCAGTCATTTATTATTTATTCTTACGTGAGTCCCCCACCTCAATCTGCAATTATTTTTGTACACTCCAAAATTTATCCGGGCTGACCTAAGCGGGAGCCCAGTCCTGGGGGATATGGTCCATAAGAAGGCCCAGATCAGTAAACTACGTGGTCAACGGAGAAACGAATAACACACAATTTGAAAGTAAAAAGAGGTTGGGGAGGTTGGAGAAAAATGAGAGATAAGAGCCTTATCCGAACAAGATTAGGGGAATAAAGGAAAAGGAGGTGGGAAGACGCCATGGATCATCAATTATCTTTTTCTGCATTAATTTTTTCTCTGCAATTTTACTTTCCTACATTTTTTTCAGACTTCTAAAGTTTTTTCCTGTTAATTCTAATTTAATTTATTCAGCATTCATTCCAATTTTGCCTACTTTCTTCGTTAATTTTTCCGGTTATCGCGAGATAGCCCAGATCCTTTCTGGAGGAGGTTGGGGAACCCTACGATTAAATCAATTCCGACAGGCTTTTTCGATTAAGCCGTCGGTGGTGATTTTTTGACGATAACAGATTGGCACGCCTAGTGGGACACCGACGTCTCGCGACTTTTTGCA